ATCCTGTGATTAATCTAAATTACACTCAATCTTGGTTTCCATGCCTGTAAAATACATGGACTATCTACCTCAAAAGGTGATTGTGAGGAAAGAACTTTGTAGACTGAAAAACACAGATAAGCTGGAGTTTCCAGCACCCTAGGGCGTTTCTTGCTTAGAGCAGGGGTGTCTCAAGTTAAGGTCTCTGGAACACAGAATATAATGTACCAATATTTCTCTGTTGGAGCTGGAGGATCCTCTGGTCTTACCCAATTTCTCTCCTGTGGGAAGTTGTATAGGGAATGAGACAGCCCTCTCCCTCCCAGCATCCCATCTCCTAACTGTATCCCTTGCCCCTCATGCCACGCAGGGTTCTTCTGAGACATAGCGGGTGGGAGTAGCTGCTCGGTCCTTTGTAAGGATCTGGTAATTCCTCACCATTTCAGGGTCCAGGGGAGGAGCAGGCTGCAGTAACAGCCTCATTGACAACTCTTCATAATGTGGTTGAGGGTTAGGGCAGGGCCAACCCCTGCAGAGTAAATTAGGGACTGGGTTGGGCACAAGCTGGAAGCCGTTAAGGTCCAATCGTCCACCTGGTGTCACATGTCTGTACCTGTTTGTGGTGAAGAGAGAATGGAGAGGTAAGGGGAGATCCTGTGTAGGGATACTAATGGCAGGTGGGGAGGAAATGACTTCTCTCCACAAACTAGCTATTGACAGTGTGTAGAGAAATATTCAAATGCAGTGTCTGCCCTTTACTTCCCTCATCCTGGCAATAAAGCATCACAAATAATTAACAAAGAAAATTGATTCATGGATTTAACTGCCTGGGTGTCAGGGTGCTGCATGTCAGTTGTGTATTGTGTTTTTTCCTTATTGATACTAAATTCATATCTATAAGGGGAATTCAAAAATTTAAATTTTTCATCTCTCCCATCCCCCAATCATAGCACTCTGCAAATAAGTATTTAAAACATTTTTGTTGAATTGGGATGTGATTTGGATCTGCAATCCTTATGGCCCATCCTTGGTTATTCCCTAAATTCTAAGCTTCCTTCAAAACCACACAAACCCCACCTCCTTTGCAAAGTCTCATCTGACCACTCTATCTCTCCATTCATTTAAATTTTTTTTCCTTTTTTATTGGGAATGTAACAATCATCAACATACACAATTACATATACAAAAAGGACTAAGAGGCTTGGGAACTTAAAGTTTGATAAGAAGTATATATATAAATGTAGTTACATACACGTAGATGTGTATATATATATGTATATATATACACACACACACAACATATATGTATGCACACACATGTGTATGTATGACATACATACACGTGTATGCATGTGTATACATATATATACATATATAATATGACAGCCTAATGTGCGTGGGGGGGGCATCCAGTGGTGGTACCCTTGCGAGTTTCTCTGCCTTCTCCCATCATCAAGCAAGCAAGCAACAAGTATTTATTAATAAGCACCTCCTACTTGGGAGGCTGGTGATACAAAGACAAAACCAAAATAATTCCTTATGCTCAAGGAGTTTATATTCTATCCCTAAAATAACGTATTTATATAAAGCAGAAACAACATATATACAAAATCAATGCATAGTAACTTTTGTGAAGGAGGAACCACTGGAGCCTTTGAAGGAGAAGGCTACAGACTCTATGAGTCAGCTAAGTGGCTTAGTGGATAAAGCCCTGGAGCCAAGAAGACCTGAGTTCAAATGTGATCTCAGACACTCACTAGCTGTATGACCCTGGGCATGTCACTTAACCTCTATTTGCCTCAATCCACTGGAGAAGAAAATGTCAGACCACTCCAGTATCTTTGCCAAGAAAAGCCCATGAACAGTTACTGGTATGGTATGGCCACAGGGTCATGAAGAATTGGATATGACTGAAAGACTGAACAACAAGAGATTCTATAAGGGAGAAATGAGGAGAGAGCATACTGTTCCAGGAACTGAGTGCATCTACAAAGACAAAGATTGTTGCATGTGAGGAATAATAAGTGAAATATGTCTGGAAAGGTAAGCTAAATGGTGAAGCTAAATGCCTAACAGAATTTGAATTTGATCTCCCAGCTACTGAAGCTTCTTGAGAAGGGGAGTGACATGATTCCATGTACGCTTTGGGAATATCAATTTGGCAGCTATGTGGAGAATGAATTGGAGGGAGTAGAGAGTTGAGAAATGGAGACCAATTACAAACCTAAACAGGAGCTGATGAGAGCCCAAACCAGGGTGGCGGCCAGGTAAGAGAAAAGAACGGAAGCAAGAGATGTGGAGGTAGAATCAATAAGACTTGGCACCTGATTGGACGAGGAGAGGAGTAGGAAGAGATAGCTCTTGGGGTTTTAGGATAATAGGACACATCCAGGTTATTTCAGGAAGGCATTCTACCCAAGCATGGTGCTAAGCTCATAGAGGGCACTCAGTAAATATTTGTTGATTAATCAATTAATTGATTAGTTAGCTACAGAGAATGCCAAGGGCAATCAAAGTAATCACAGATGATCAGAACACGCCAACTGAAGATGAGTGGAAGGAATTAAGTATATTTAATTTTTAAAAAGAATACTGAAGTGGGACATATGGATTTGAGGGTCTATCAAGTAGAAAAGAGACTAGACTTATACTCTTAAAAACCAGCAGGAATGGGTGGAGGTTGTTAACTAAGCAAGTTTAGGCTTGACATCAGAAGTCTATTACAGTTATCCAAAAGTGAGATGGGATGTTTTAGAAACAGTGGCTTTAGCAGGCTCCTCCTCCCTAGCTTCACTCGGAGCCTAGCTCAGATGCAACAACCTACAGGCCTTTCCTGATCAGCAATTTGTTCATGCTTTCTTTCCTTCATTGGCTCCAAACCGCTCTGCATTTATTCTATACATATTTCATATGGAAGCAGCTGCTACTGACACATACAGGTGAGACCTGGACCAAGTCACTTGATTTCTCGGTGCCCCAGGTCACTCTCTAAGACTATAATTTGCAGAATATTTTCCAATCTGCATTGGTAGAAGGGATTTCTGAGAGCAATGAAACCACAGGTGCAGTTTAAAATGAAATATGTGGAAGAGGGATCCCAGCTCTTTGAATCCCAGCACTTTCACTTACTGCATCCTTGGACAACTCATTTTAGTCCTCTGCCCCGAGTTCCTCATTTGTAAAGTGAGGGAGGGGGAACTCTAAGGTCTCTCCCATCACTAAATCTGATTCTACAATTCTGCTTGGCTTTAGAGGTTGGAACTAAGAATAGTCCGAAAGTTGCAGGGGTAGATTTAGGTTCAGGTGAAAGGAAACGCTTCCTATCAAAAGAGCAATCCAGCAGCAAAATGGGCTTGGGAGGCAGAGAGTGACCCCCTCGTTGAAGGTCAATGAAGACAAAAGCTGGATGACCATGATCTCTAAGATACCTTCTAGTTCTAAATATATACCACTGCACGTTATAGAAGGGATTTTTATTCAGGTATACATGGGACTAGGATATCTCGGAAGTTCATTCTAATCTGCTACAGATCCATAGTCAGGAAAAACCAGAGATGGGGGGTGATGGAGTCACAGGAAGGAGAAATCCCCAAAATCCACAATCCCCAAACCTCATTTTAGCCATTTATTTCGATCCCTTACCGAAGCTACTCATAGGAGTAATATAACTTGCTCTGACATGCTTCTCTCTCTGCTTCTGCAGGGAGATGTTCCAAAAGGCAGGAGAGAGAAGGCAAAGGCCTTGATTCTGGCTGTCTACTGGATCACTGGACCTTGAATTCATGAGTAGGTTCTATTTACTTCACTGTCCACTGCTCTTCCAGCAGTGGATCTTGCCTGGTTAGCCTGAATTCACATCCTTCACCCCTATAGACTGCTCAGGTCCCAACAGTGGTTGGAAGTGAGATGAGGCAAGAGAGCCAAAAAAGTGGCTCCAAATAACACAAAGGCCTTGCTAAATGCTAGGCGAATTCCTATCTAGTTCTGTTACCATCCTTCAAGTATATAGCTTAAGTCCTATCTCCATTTTTTTTTTTTGCTTTTAGGCAATTGGGGTTAAGTGACTTGCCCAAGGTCACACAGCTAGTAAGTGTCAAGTGTTGGGTCTGAGGCTGGATTTGAACTCAGGTCCTCCTGACTTCAGGGCTGGTGCTCTATCCACTGCGCCATCTAGCTGCCCTTGTCCTATCTCCTTCAACAAACTTAACCTGATGACACAGTCCATAGCGTTCTTTCCTTCCTCTGAACTCAGTCTGTATTCACTTGGCACTTATACACCATCTTGCATACATGTGCCCAATCACCCCAGATAGCCTCCTCCTTGGGGAAGGGATTCTATTTCATATGCTTCTGGATGGGTCTATCCCACACCAACTATCATAACGCTCAATACTATATTCAGTACTTATTAACATTTAGATTGGGGTTTTTTTTGGAGACGGACAGGCAGCTAGGGAGGGGTTTTCTTACCTCTTGAAGTTCTTGGGGGGCAAAATGTCACCCTGGGCATCCAATGGGGGTACCCTCACTTCACTTCTTGATTTGAGTATTTCTGCTTTCCTTATTTCCTTCTTGGCCTGGGTGACCACCTTCTCCTTTCTTTCAGGGTCCGTGAAGATAGGACGAGTGTCAATAAAGTGCAATAAAGTGTTTTTCCCAAGCCAGGAAGGTGGAGGAATAGAGTAATTTGTTAAAGAACATTTATGGCCCTCACTGCGAGTGAGCCATCGCCAGACATTACTATCGTAAGGTTTATCAGGCCTTGTGGGAAAGACTGGAGGTAGACGCCCCACATCTATCCACGTGTGGTAGCCCCGCGTATGTTGAGATGCACCCTTCCAAGGGGAGAGGAGTTGCTGGCGTGTGATGGACTTTATTTTTGTACAGGGTGGTGGCTTCACAGCAAGCTGATGGTAGGGCTGTGGAGTGAAGCCCCCAAATACTAAGGGGATGTCTGGGTGGAAGAATTCTCGCTGTACCCATGTTTCCTCAGTGAAGGGATCGTTGTAAGAGGTCATCTAGGTAAGAGTTAAGATGGGACCTGGTGACAGATGAGTTGATGGGGAAATCGGCTTCTCCGCCCTCTATTTTGTTCAGCTGCAACCAAGGAAAGAATAAGTGTTGCATAAGCCTTAAACTTCAGTTATTTCCTCTCCTCAAAATGACTCCTGATACTTCTCTAGGGAAATGATGTTACCAAATATTTGACCTAGCACCTATCCATCATTACTGGGCAGTGTGATGCTATTGAGTCTACCATGGAGATCAGGCCCCTGCTTTTTCTTACACTTGGAGTCATTTTATAGTCCTTTCTTCATTATATATGTGTTTCCTTAGAATTTAGAGCTGGAGATCTTTTAATCCAACCCATTCATTTTACAGATTAGGAAAACTGGGGGCAGCTAGGTGGCACAGTGGATAGAGCACTGGCCCTGAAATGAGGAGGACCTGAGTTCAAATCCAGCCTCAGACCAAACACTTGGCACTTACTAGCTGTGTGACCCTGGGCAAGTCACTCAACCCCAATTGCCTAAAAATAAAATAAAATATAGATTAGGAAGACTGAGGCTCCCAAAAGTGAAATGACTTGCCCAAGTCACACAAGTATGCTGCTTATTGATTGGTAGCAAGGGGCAGAGCTAGGATTCAAACTTGGTTCTGTCTCCAAATCCATTACTCTTCACTACACTACCACACACCTCAATCCTGATGCCCTTTCCCTCCAGTCACCCCCTACTTGTTTGCTGATGTCCACAAATCTCCACTCCTCCAGGTCTGACCAACCCCAGCAAGTCCAGAAGTGATTAGATCCCAGGTGTCCTGCCCTCTCTATCAGCTCTGACTCCCACATCTCACATGGCTAATGTTGGGAAGACTAGGAGGTTAGGTAGATGGAATATCAGCACAATTAGTTCCTTCAGGCCCTAGTAGAAAACAGAACCTCTGTGGAGGACTACATGATAAAAATCAAGAGCTACATAAGGCAGGTACTCTGGACATGGGGATCGGCTTTCTAAGGATGCAGTCTTCCTACCTGTAGGAGAGGTTCTGTACTTTGAGGTGGCTCATTTTCTCCAGGAGATATTCCTGATCATAAGATACATTTAAATTTAAAAAAAAAAACCCAACTATCAAAGCTAGAAAATGCCCCTCTGCTCCTAGGCCCCCATTGTTTGCCCATATGAGTTGCTATGGTGACGCATCACGATGAGTGAACTGTGTGTGAAACCATTTGCACTATCTGGGCCTCCAACTGCTAGAGGAAACAGTGGGGAGTCTTCATAACCTAAGAAGTTAGAAACCTTGAATTTCACCCACACCAACCCCTTATGTTTAGTAGCACCTGGTGACCGCCCTCCTAAAAGCGTAGCCCGAGTACCTTCTTTGTGGGCTGACACAAAACTCCCTTGTTGAGGACAGAGAAGCCTCCCCAGGAGCCCCAGATGAAAATGGGTCACTAGCTTGGGATAGTTTTATCCTCGATAAGGAGCTGTAGGGGGTGAGAGAAACCAAGAGGGACACGCCCTTTCTAAAGAGCTGAAAGGCACCTTTTCCTGATGTTTAGATCACTCTAAAATTCTCATTCAGGACTTGCTAAAGATTATTTCCTTTACTTCTACATGCAGTTGCAATTAAAAATGTGGGTAGGGAAACCCCTGAGGAAAGGATTTTAGGCTAGCCAACTGCCCTAGATATAGAGTGAAGAATTCTTTCCACAGAACCAAGATGCAAAGAGCTTGAGAGCAAGATAGAAATTGGGAAAAGGGATAGGGGGAGGCTGAGAGCCAAGTCCTTATCAGTATAGTCAGTCCTGAACTTTCTTTAGACATGTGATTCTTTAGAACAGTCCCACTTCTCCCTTCTTTCCTCCTATCCCCAAAGTTCAATACATTTATCCCTGTCCCCCCATCCCCTACCCCCTGCCATAGGATGATTCATATCTTCCTTAGAACTCAGAGTCTCCAGACACCAAATACTTCACAAAACCCAACATCTCCACCCTAGCCTTTATTGAGTAGGTGGTTACAATTGTGTATGCCTAAGGCTCTGGCCTAATATAAATGATGAAACTTTGGCTTATGGGGTGGATTGGTTATAAAAGCTGACGTGCAAATGGAGGGGATCCAGTATAAATAAGGGTGACCTTATAATCACCCCCCATTCCACCCATCCTCTGGCCAAATGCTCCCTTCTCAGGGCTGCCCAGCAAAATCTGGAATCTTAGAAGAAATTCTCTAGTAGCCTGACATCTCGTTCCATTCAGCTTTGGGGAACTGACCCCATTACAATGAGAATCTGCAGCAGTGTTGTGGCTCTCCCTTCTTCCACTAAGAACCCACCGATCCTCAACAGGAAAGTTATTGTAGGAGTCCGGTGCAGGGAAAACAGATCTCCTATTCTGAATGCATGGTGGGTTAAGAAACCTTGAGAAGTGTATACTTGACCCAGAAAAACCCTTAAGCCATGAACCTGAAGCCCTTATCTCTCAGAGAAGACCAACAGCAAGCCATGGAAACAAACAAAAAAACCCGCGTCAACCAACCCACCCATTGGCAACCCCCACGATACTGATCTAAGGAAATAAAGTTATGTTAATAATTAGAGGATAATTTGGAGAATATACACTATTTACAATGACCACCTGGCCCCAACGGGCCACTGAGAGGAGAATAGGGAAAGATGAAGACAGAAGCTTGTAGACGTAAATAAGGCTGGGAGTCCTCCTCTGGTTTTTAGCCTTTGTGCTGCTGTTCCCACCATTAGTGCCTGATGAGGAGGTCAAGGTGGTGATAGAGGTAAAGAGGACAGATTTTTTTGGGGGAAGCTCCAGGATAGGCAATGGCCAGCCATCAGGAGACCAGCTTGTAGTCAGCTAGAACATGGCTGGCTATCTTGACCTGATTGGGAGAAACAGAGCTAAGAGAAGCAGACAGGTTCACCAGCTTTTGGCAGCCCTGCTGCCTTCACACAAAGTGTGTGAACTGGTCTAACCGTTGGACCACCTAGCTACTTGTCAAATCTGAACTAGTGGACTTAGTGGGACACACTGGGCTCTACCGCAACTCAGGGATAAACTGAGACCAACTAATATTGTCAGGGCCCAGGGGATCCTCCTCTAAGCCAGGAAAACTGATGTCCAACAGGATCTTGCTGAGGCTGTCATTCATTGTGTCCAGAACGAGGCCTTCAGTCAGTGAACGGTTGGCAGAAAGGTTGGAGACATGCATCTCAGGGGAGCCAGGCTTGGGGGCTTCAGGATCTGAGGTGGGAGAGCTGTTAAAAGGGTCAGAGACCAGGTCAAGTGACTCTGGATTAAGAAGCTCCTGGGGTGACTCAAAGAGAGGAACATTCTTCAGTGGGGTGGTGCTGAGATCCAGCAGCCCCATGGAATCTGGCAGCAGGGTAAAAGATCCCTGGGGAATACGCACTGGGCTGAAATCGAGCCCTGTCTCCTTGTTTGGGGGTGTAAGCCTCCAAGGGTCTGGGGTCATAGGGAGAACTGCTTTGCTGGGAGTGGAAGAAATGGGTAGCTTGCATAACATATCCTTGACTGGTGTTTTAAAGGGACCTCCTTCATCCTGAGAGTGGCTGAGTTGGGAGGTAGGCTCTGATGCCTCTGGGAGGAAGGGGAGATCTGTGTTTTGTCTGGAGGGTCCAGGGATCTCTGGGAACAATAGTTCTGGCTCTTCCAAGCAAGGTGGGATAAGGTGCTGTTTCCTTCTGGATCGGCTCATCTCCCTCCTTTCCCTCCGCTTAATCACAAGCATGTCAGAGACACCCCGTGGTGGGGACTTGAGCCCGGTGAAGGTCTTCTTGGGTCTGGAGGCAGAGAAAAGGGAAGGGTCCTGCCAAGGGTGTGATACTTCTTCCTTGACTACCGGAAAGGGTGAGGGCCACTCTTCCAGTGGTGGGCTCTCCACTTTGATGGGTCTTGTGAACTGGGATAGTTCTTCCATGGGCTGGAGATCTTCTTCTTTGACAGACTGAGCCCGAAACAAAGGAGATAGCCCTTCCCCAGGTAGGGCTCGTTCCTCTTTCAATGATCCAGAAGTGGAAAAGGGAGATAGTCCCTCATCAGCTAGCAGCACCTGAAAGTAGAACACAAAAATGTGGGAGGGATGTCTCCTGAGCATATTCAATCCCCTAGATCTTTTAGCAGAACTTAATCACCCTAGCCTGTTATTAAAAAGCTCCTGGGGAGGCAATTTCACTAACTACTGTTACCTATCTCAGGATCTAACACAGCTTTTTGATTAAGAAGTTGATTCTCTTTCCCTAAGTTAAATCACTTCTACAGTTTAAGCTTCCTATATTCTCAGAGGTTCCTTACCCCACCAGGTAATAACCCACTTTTATGCCTATGACATCACTCTAAAAATTTTTCTCCAAATGAAAAGAATTCATAGCATCATAGAATGTCACACTCGGAAAATAGACCTTAGAGATACAGTCCCATTCCCTGATTTGTTATTTATTATTTGCTACCCTTGCTTTGCGATTTACTTCCCTGTGATTTGAAGCAAGTCACTTTGGCTCTCTGGGCCTCAGCTATCCTTATCTATAAAGCAGATATAATAATACACATAGTATTATTATATCTAAGTATCTACTTCAAAAGGTTTATTTTGAGGATCAAATGAGATAGTATAAAGCATACAGTAAATCTTAAAGTATTATATAAATATCAACTATACTGTTAGTTGCTGGGCTCACAATCTTTCTCTCCTTTCCAACTCCTGCCCTCCATACTAAGGGACTTCAACACTCTAACCTCCCAGTTCCTCGACCTACTCATTTCCCACGACCTGCTCCACCTCAGCCACACACTGCCATCCTCCCAGTTTGTGCCAGACTCAAGTCTCTCCCCACTCCAGTCCATTCGCCCTTCAGTTGCCAAAGAGATTATCCCAAGGTACAAGTCCAACCATGTCACCCCTCCTCCCTGTCTGCTCAATAAATTACAGTGGCTGTCACCTTCAGGACCAATTATAAAATCCTGTTTGACATCCAAAGCCCTTCATAACCTGGCTATCTCCACCACCTTTCCAGATTTCTTCTTACACCTTCCCTACGTACTCTTTCATCATGTGACACTGAGCTCCTAGTAGTTCCTCAAACAAGATACTCCCATCTCTTGACTCTGGGCATTTTCACTGTCTGTCCTCCACACCTGGAATGCTCTTTCTCTTCATCTCTGTCTGCCTCATGGCTTCCTTAAAAAGTGCCAACTAAAATCTCACTCTTTACAAGAAGCCTTTCCCAATCCTTCTGAATTCTAGCACCTTCCCTCTGTTGATTTATTTCTTATTTATTTTGTGTATAGTTTGCTGGCATGTTGTCTCCCCAGTTAGATTGTGAGCTCATGGGCAAGGACTGTCTTTGTCCTCAGCACAGTGCCTGGTACATAGTAGGCACTTAATAAATGCTTATTGGCCTACTTTGGATTCAAAACTAGAACCTAGTGCAATGCCTTGCATAAAAATGATGTCCAATATATTTTCACTCTTTAATCTTTCATAATTTGGCTTCTGCTTCCACAACCCTTTTGAAACTGCCCCTTCAAAGTTTTCCCATGACCTCCTAATCACTCAATTCATGGCCTTTTTTCTGTAACCAGTTTTATCAATGCTTTTTAATTTTTTTACATGTCATGTCTCTCTTCTCTACTGAACAGTTAGGACCAACTTGCAAAATGACTGCAAAGACAGCGTTCCACTTTCACCCTCCCCCATTTCCACCATCAGTCTGGTCTCTGGACTGGGGTTGTTTAATGAAATCAATCTAATTTGTTGCCCATGGCCCTTTTCTCAATCATCATCCTCCTTGAGCTCTAGGCAGCCCCTAACACTAAGCAACCACCTTGCTTCCTTGAAACCCTCTCCTGCTTGGTCTTTTGTCATGGTTCTCTTCTAGCTCTTCTCTTATTCCTCTGGTTGATCACGATTTCTTGTTTTCCTCTCCCAACCAAATGCAGGGTTCTCTAGACCCCTTCATCACACCTCATCTCATCTTTTTTAATTCTCTCTTGGTAATCTCTTGACTAATTACTTCTGTGTAAAGATTGCCAAATCTTTACCCCTAATTCTATTCTCAAATTCCAAGCCAACATAGTTCTAATCCCTTTTGGAATTCTCCACTTGGATATCTCAATCCAGAATCAACTTAATGTTTCCAAACTAAACCCATATTTCCCCAATAGTACTTATTTCTAGTAATAGTACCACCATTTGCCCCCATAGCTAATAATTCCTATTGATTTTGCTTTGGAAATATTTCTTGCATTTGTCTGCTCTTGTCTATCACTACTGATATCTCTCTATTTCAAGTCCTTATTAAATTATCAAGTCACAAACTTCTACAACAATAATATCAACTGCTTCTCCACTTCTAGTCTCTACCCTCTCTAGTCTGGCCTTCAGAACACTACCAGGTGCTTCCTTGCTAAAGCATAGTTTTAATCATATTACTCTCTTGCTAGTACTTTTGATGGCTCCACTGTCCACAAAATTAAGCTCAAAGTCCTTAATGTGATATTTAAGGACTTACAAAATGTCCCCCAACCTACCTTTATAGCCTAATCTATTTCCCGACAAATTAACGTTCCTGTCAAAACAAACTATTATCATTTCCTTAACAGCGTTGCATTTTTTTCTGCCTCTTTGCCTTTGCTTATCCTGTTCTGAGATACCTTTTTCTCTCCCAACCCATCCTTTAAGGACAACTAGTTCAAAGGTTACCTCCTTCAGAAAGTCTTTCTTTAATGATCCTTCCCAGTTGGAAGTAACTTCTTCCATTTAATTGCTAAAGCACCTTCTGCCTCCATCTCTTTGTTATGGAACTTAATAACATAATAACATAATTCAGAATGTAATCTTTTCATAACTGTTTCATCTTCCCAAGGAAAGGGATCAGGTCATATTCAACTTTGCACACACCACAGAACCCAGCATGATGAACTTATATGTAAATATTTGTTGACTGACTAGACGAATACCCTTATAGGAGAAAGGACACTACTCACCTTGGGGGCAATGCGCACTCGCTTGCTATGACGGACAAGCTCTGAACTCATGAGAGAGGCAGCCAGGGGTAATGGCACCTTCACCGAAGGCTGCAGCACCAGGGATTGGTTCACTGGGAACTGGATTGGTACTAGATATGAGTTGACCCTTGGGAGTAGCGGCTTCATCTTCCGTCCTGAGAGAGAGGATGAGTGAAGAGCACGGGGGGCCAGACTTCCTTCCCTTTCTCAATCCCAGATCCCCTTGCCAAGGATAGAAGCCGAGAATTTAAACCTAAGAGTCTTGACTCCTTTTAGACTTGCTCTAAACAAAAGCTGAACTTAGTTCTTCCCACATACTTACGTGCACTCAAAGGGAGCTCAGCTTTGATGCCCAGGTTTCTGCGGAGGTCAGGGATGGGCCGTTTCTGTTGCTGCTTGTCAAAAAATGGAAAAGAAAGAAGCCTAGTTTACAAAGGTGTGGGAGATGAGAAGCAAACCCCACCAGCTGCTCTGCTCTGGAACAGTGCTGTCTCTCTGCCACCTGATAGCCATAAAGGAAGAAAAAACTGATCCAAGGGGATCGCCATGGGTCCTGTCTCCATGGCCTGTCTGTGGGAAGGGTGAGCAGCATAGTGACCAACAGTACCAGAACAGTGCCCCCAACCATACCCATGGTGTCTCCCCTGGGGAGCTAGACTGTATGGCGAAATAAGTGGAAAAGAAGAACAAAGAAGAGAAATGTGAGTGAAAATAGCTGCTTGCAAGACTGTCATTTACATTGCTGCTATTCCATGCCAAGTGTGTGGCACTGTTCTCCTGATATGCTGACTCTGCTGAACACCTTGCTGTTGCCTGTGGGAAGGGAAAGGGAAGTAGTTGTGTTCCCTAAAGAGGTATGCATCTGGGGGAGGTGCGACAGTCATAATGAAGCAGCTCAACTCTCCCATGTCTAAGATAGCCTTGGGGTAGTCTGTGTCTAGGGCCAGCAGTCACATGGCCCTGGGATTGCCTGCCCTTCCCTTGAACATCTTGTCCCTGTCCACTGAAGTCATGCTGAGCAGCAAAAGGAGAACAAGGCCAAGCCCCGAGCTGGAGAGAGAGAATCTTACTGATTCCAAGTGCTCAGACGATGGTGGAGACCCTGGGTCCAGTGGCTGGAGGCAGCAAGGCATTGGGAAAGAAATAAGATTGAAGTTACCAACCAATTTGGTCAATTTCACCAGTAGGGGAAGAAACATAAACCTGACATAGTGATGAACACTTTCATAAAATACTGCTTGAAGGGCTTCAGGTATGAGAGAGAATGGGAGTAAGAACTCTATCAGATATATGCACATGGCTGTAACACTGAAACAACAGTTCCTTTCAACAAAGAACCCCTTAGTATTAACACATCATGAATTAAGTCTTAGGTCTCCAGTTTAAAATGTAAAAAACCCAAAATTTTGCCTTTTTTGTTACCTCTAATATTTTTTGCTAGATTCCTCCCCTGCCCCCCCATCCTCCAAAACCTTACCCACTATTTTTCGACTGTACCTAACACATTATGTTCTCTGTATGTGTTGATTGTGCGGCTGATCAGAGAACAAAATGATCTTTTTCCCGCACGGGTACTGTCACACTCAAATTCTGAAGGGGTTTCTGAGTCTAAAAATAATCCCTAATTGCCATCCACTGGATACCAGGATGCTTACCTTAAACACCTGGTCCAGTGTCAAATAGCGATTGGCATCAGGGTGGATGGTCCAAAAGGAGACCTTGCCATTGGCAGATGTCTCCCGAACAAACATGTCATGTAGAGAAAGATTGTGGCGGATAGAATTCTGAAATGAGATGAAGACATTCAGATTTCAGCTTTGGAAACATGACTTTTGATTATTATTGGATGATGGTTCCCAGTCACCTAACTTTAATTTTCTTCTTCATAATAAAGCCTCTTTTGGGGCTCTGTCATTAAATCTCTGGCACCCGTGGCTAACTACACTTCTCACCCTAAAATTCCACTGCATGTCCCCAGGCTCAGCCATGATCCCAAGGATCTCAAGTGGTACACAGGTTAGTGATTCACTCCCATTTTTTAGGCTAGTGATCAAGAGATGAGTCTGGATGGTTGTTAGGGGATGGGGAAAAAAAATCCATTTTAGAGTGAAGCAACAGGTAATATCAAGAGAAGCAGCAGAAATTAGTCAAGGTGTGTCACATGTTAGAAAATTGTAGGCTGAGAATTGAGAATCATGGTTCATATAACAAGATACAGTGTGGGGTAATAGTCTCACTTCTGACAATATACTGGCTATGTGACCCTTGGCAAATCACCTAACCACTCAGAGCCCCAGGCAACTCTTTAAGACTCTAAGTGGCAGAGCTGTGGGACAAGTTTCCCTATATCAATGCAATTACAAGTACAAAGGCACAGAAGTATAAAAAGATCACAGAACTTAAAGTTGGAAGGGATCAAAAGGGATTATTTAGTCCAACCCACTCATTTCACAGGTTAAGAAACAAAGGCCAGAGGACTGAAATGGCCTGCCAAAAATCACAGAGGTAGTAAACAGTAGAGCTGGAACTAGGACCTCAGGTCCTCAGTACACAAAATCTATTATTCATTCCCTTGCATCACACCCCAATCAGTTTTTTGTCTCTGATTGCATCTTAGCTAGTTTCCTTCAAGGTTGGGCCCAAGTGTTAACTTCTATGGGCTTTTCTTTATCCCCCCCCCCACCAGTTGCTAATACCTTCCCTCCCCAAATTATCCTATTTTGTATATTCTTATGCAGGATATCCCCAAAGTCTTAGTGCAGTTTTAAGTTTTGTTAATTTAAAATTAAATTTCAGGGGAGACCACATTATGCTATCAAGGTTCCAGAGCTTAAAAGTATACTAAGACTTTGGGGATACCCTGCACGTGCATATGTAATCTCCCCACTAGAACGTAAATTCAGTTAGGGTGGGAATTGTTTCATTTGAGTTTCTGTCTACTCAGAGCTGAGCATAGCACCTGACACACAGTAGGTGCTGAATAAATGCTGGTTGATTGACAGAGGTATAATAAGATTGTGCTTCAGTCTTCCTATGTGTAAAATGGGGATCAGTCCTTCTACACGTTCCAAAAATGTAAAAATATATGAAATAAAGCAGCAGCAACATGTTAGACAACAAAGACTTCTGCAGAGAGTGGAAGACAAGGCTGACCAGAAAAGATTCATGCAGCAAGAACAGGAGACAAGAGATTGACAGATCAAAGAGTACATCAGAATCCTCAAGACACAAAAGGTACAAGAGGGAGGCCTCAAGGGCACTGGCCGATGTGGAATTTACCAACACAAGTAGCACCAAAAAAAGGACCATCCTCATCCATGAAATCTCAGGTCAATTAAATAGAGGTTGAAGAACAGTCAAAACCATTTCCTATGGAGATCACCACCATCTAGTGCATTGAGGAGGTCTACGGTGCTTTTTCTGCACTGTCTTTCACCCTCCTGTGGTCCTTAGGACAGGGCTCTCTGCCCAGGAGATGCTCCCCATCAGGGACTGAGTATTCTTTACCAGAGAAGTCTATGGAATGCACAGCACTTTGCCTCACTCCGTGCCATCACCTTCTCTCCTGAGGGATCAGAGCCTCGGCACACCATTTTAAAAAGCTTGCTCTATATCAGATTGTGTGCTGTCTTGGGGAGGGAGGCGAGAAGGGAGAGGGGGAAAAATTTAAAACTCAAAAGCTTGTGGAAGTGATTGCTGATAAATCAAAATAAATTAATAATGCCTAAAAAGCTTGCCAATCCTACAAATATACAGGAGAAGGGATTCTTCAGCCACTGTAGCCACCCTAATTGCAACTCGAATAGCTACATTTATTTGGAACACGCCCTTCTACACTGATTCTGAAAATGTTATTAGGAACTATGGAAACTTGGGAAGATGTTCTAGAGACTGTCAAGTATGAAGTTCAGTAATCTAAAAGATTACTTCAGTGCAAGTTATATAGTAAGTCACACTCTAAGCGTATCTTCTACTGAGAAATCTAGTCCAGCTCTACTGAGCAGGGGCAAAGTGGAATTCTGAACCCCCTGCTATAATGGACTGAACAATAAAGTATCACAGTATTATAAGTAGGAGTGTCTGAATAGCAACTTCTTGGCTATTTTGCCTAGGTTGTTGGAAGTATGTTATACACCCAAATTTCAGATGAATTTATTTTTTAGGTCTAGTCTCTTCTGTTTTCAAGTGTTCTTCCACAACCCCAGACAGTGGGGATTTGGTCACCTGGACCCTGGTTGTTATAGAGACATTATAGAGACCTTCCAGCCCGGTTTGGCGATGTGCTTAAAGTAGGGAAAGTGATCCTCAATCCAGGTATAGATGTCTTTCAAGGTCATGCGTTTCCGCTCAGTACTGTTGATGGCAAACTGGATCATGGCCATGTAGGAATAAGGTGGTCTTTCTGATACAGAATCCTGCCAGGAGGTTGATGCAACTGGGGGTTCTTCCACCTGAGAAAAGCAAAGGAGCCAAAGGAAAAGGACAAAAAAGGAGAAAGAGGGAAGGAACCAGTCATCAAAGCTGCCCACTTAGAGTACATCTCTTGGAAAAACCCTCTTATCCAGAGGATGATAGAGGAAACATGTCCACAGCCATATTACTGTGGGACCTGCCCTACATGGAGTTATCAGAGATTCAGTCCCTTCTAATTCCGTGAAAGCTATTTATATCTGACCACTCAGTATTAGATCTCTGAAATTTCTTCCAGCTCTAAGTCTGTGATCCTAAGAATAATTCAGACTGACTTATGCCAAACTGGTAGTCTGATGTAAATATATTGGCTTAAATAGTTTGGATTATTCTTAGGATCACAGGTTAAGTAACTTGTCCAAGGTCACACAAACAGTAAATTGCAGGGTTGAGATTTGAACCCAGGTCCTCTGACTTCAAATACAACACTGGGAAGTATTTAACTCATATGTGATTCCTTTGCTTCCAATATTATTTTTTCTAGCATGCATATGTATTTGTGTGTATATCTTTTGGCAACAGTTTTTACATATTTTTATTCTAAATAAGTTTACTCTTCTTCAGATAATAAAATATAGTAAAATTTTCTGTTCCTGAATAATAAAATCATCACCCAGGGTACATATGAACATTTTCTTTTATCTTCACAATCACATATGATATTATTCTAAAATGTCCCCAACAGATTTGTAAAACCTAATGCTTTGTTGGTTGTTTAATACATGGTAAAGTTGAATACATTAACCAATAGGGCTCTTTTTTGCACAATAAAATTTCTTTTAAAGAAATAAAGCATTTCTTGGTATGGCAGCAAAGCCCCAAATGCTGTTCCACAGAGAAAATATCCATTCCCTTCACACTCTGCCTGGGTGCTAATCAATTTATATAGCCCTTATCCATTGGAAAGAATTCTCCAGAAATAATTTCTAGTTCACAGAAGTCCTGCTGATATATCATAGTGGTATGGAGTTGTTAATAGAATGTAAGCTCTGACAATTCCTTCCAGCACAGAAAGGCTTTAAGTAAAGTCCCAGCCGTGGACTATAAGTCTTTTGTCTGAGAACCAACCAATGAAGGCCATCCCCAGTCATCCTGATCTATATCTTGCCATTGGCCCCAGGTGGCTCTGGAGGAGAAAGCGAGGCTGGTGGCTTTGCATAGTCCTCCCTCACTTAAATCCAATTCACTTGCAAGTCATGGTTATCACCTTTCTGATGTCATGGCCCTCTTGGAGAACAAAGGACAAACAACAACAACCCAAGAACCAACTTGTGTAATTTCAAGAAGCTCAACACCAAGTTGGCTGCAGAGTGACTGACTTTTTGGACATATCAATTCACAAAGTCCAGGTCCTAAGGTTCAGTTACTAAGGACTACAATCTACTCCAATGGAAAGAGTAATGACAATATTCAAATCATATATTCTTGAAAAACTAGAGATTAAGTTTAAGATGCTTTATTATTATTATTCAATTAGAACTCATGTTTGGAGTTCAAATTACTATATGCTATATAAAAATGAGCTCTCCATTACAGAAATGATATTGTTGTGAGGGTATATTGCAGTCTACTAAGCCAGGTGGACAAAGCAGATCATAAGTTTTTAATGCAAATCACAAATTGAGCAAAGAGACAAAATATAATAACGAATGGTTCGCGCCAATAGGTCAGACATATGTTGAAAGATTCTACTAAAAGTGGAGACGCTGATGAATTTTTCACTTCCCTGGGGACAATTTTCATTTTCACTGCGGAAAAACCACAGTCCAGAGGAAAGAATGCCGGATTAGCTGTCAGAAGACCCAGGTTCAAATCCATCTCTAACACTAATTACCTGAAGGATCTTAGGGAAGTTACTTAATCTTTTTATGCTTCAGTTTCCTCACCTGTAAAATGAGATAGTTGAAACTAGATGATCTACAAGGTCCCCTCCAGTTCTAAATCTGAAATCCTATGACCTCCCAAAGGTTGAAGAAATGACAAAAGGAAAGGACATCATGATTCCATTATTTTAGACCTGATTTTGAACAAATAAGAAGAAACTCTATGGTTAAAGAATTGTGGTACATGAGTGTAATAGCATATTATTGTGTCACAAGAAATGACAAAATGAAATTATAGAGGAAACTGAACCAATACAGAGTAAAATGTGCCTCTAGAACAATTTAGACAATTTTGAAAAACTTTAAAACTATGATTAATGCAATGATAAACCAAGAGTGAAGAGTACTGAAGAAGAATCATGCCACCCACCTCCTGCCAGAGAAGTGATGGACTTAAAATGCAGAAGGAAACATACATTTTTGGACATGGCCAATGTGGAAATTTATTTTGCTAAATTATGCATATTTGTTACAAGGGGGTTGTTTTTTGAGGTCCTAAAAAGAGTGGGGTTGCATGAGGGATGAATAATACATGCTTGTAAAAAGAAATCAATTTAAAAAAATAAAAGACATTAAAAAAAGAATTATGTCATTTTAGAAGTTATTAAGAGAAAACCCCTGAACATAGTATAATATATGAGTTTAAAGAAATATGAATTTGCAAAAAAGGTAGGAAAGATCTCAAAGCTCAGGAATGGGAGAACAAAATTCTGATGATAAAAGTGTAAATGATTCTTATGAAGAAGAAAAGTGGGGGATAGTGCCTAAAGAAATTAATATGGAGAGAACTCAGTAATGAGATCAGATTTTAAAAGAACATACATAAGAGATGGCATCAGAGGTAGGTAACAAGATTAATACAAAAGGGTGGCAAATTCTGTAAGGTTAAAATCCAACCTGAACTGAGGCCTGCAATAAATACTAAGGACAACAAAAAATGCTATGTTGGAAGCAAGAAGATAAACAAATAATAGGACCAGGGTTTAGGGAGATGAGGTTATAACACATGACACAAAGAAGAAAAATCAAACTTATTTTGTTTCTATATTCTCTATTAATAAGAATGATCTTCAGATGGCAAAGAATAGGGGAAAAAAGTTAGCAGGAAAATGAAATCCAAGATACTTAAGATGACAAAAGAACATCTAACTGCTCTTAAAGACTTTAAATCATCCAGCAGAAGCAAAATTATATTCCAATATACTGAAGAAGTTAAGAACGAATGCTGAATCATTGTTTATGACCTCTGAGAAAAGATGCCACGGGATTAAGATCAGCACAAAAAGGTGGGTTCTTTCTGCAAAGTGGCCTATGAGGATTTAAAAAAGGAAAGAAGTGGCTGCTATGAACTTACATGGGTTAAGAATCTTTTTATTTCAGACAAGGCTTTCCAAATTGGAAAGATATGGCCTGTATGATAGTGCAATTACATGTGTTCACGATTGTATAAACAATCAGATGTAGAGTCCCGATTAGTAGAATGACATCAACTTAAATACTGTTATCTAGTGGAATACTCACAGGTGTTTCTCCTATTCAATATTCTGATTAAAGATGAAGATAGCATGTGTATTAAATCTGCAGATCAAATGTTGCTAGAGAGAATAGTTAATGTGTCAGGCGACAGAATCAGGAACCAAAAAGATCTTGACATCCTGGACTGGGGGGCTAACTCTCTTAAGGACGAAATTTAATGGGAGTAAATGTAAAAGTACTACACTGGGGTTCTAAAAGGTGAGTGCACAATTATATAATGAGAAAGACATGATAACAGCTAATAATAATGTTTAACATTTATATATTGCTTACTATGTGCCAGTCATTGTCCTAAGCACTGTACAACTATTATCTCATTTGACTCACAACAACCCAGCAATGTAGATGCTATTACTATCCCCATTTTACAGATGAGGAAACTGAGGCAAAGGTTAAGTGACTTACTCACATAGCTAGTGTCTGAGACCAGATTTGAACTCAGGTCTTCCCAAGTCCAGGACCAGCATTCTTCCATTTCACCACTTAACTGCCTCTTAAGGCAGATCATGTTAAAAAGATCCTGGGGTTTTAGTGAACCCCAAGTTGAATAAAAATCAACAGCATGATGTAGCAGCCAAAACAAGTTAATGGGATCTGAGGCTGCATTAATAAATGTAAGTACTTGAAGTATACGGAATTATACCATTGTACTCTGTTCTGTCAAATCATATTAGGATTATTTACCATTTGAGGGATAAGAAGAGGGTGTCATATTTTTAGGAAGGATGTTGACAAGTTGGAGAGGGACCAGAGGAAGATGACTAGAGTAGTGAAAGTACATGAAACCATGTAATACAAAGATTGATTCAAAGAACTGAAGATGTTAAGGCTGGAAATTCTGGATGGAATTTCTGAAGGCTGGAAAAGATGGTGTGGAGGAGAACTACAGCTTAGTACTGTTTTCAAATATAGGGAGGGATTTCATGCAGAATAGATTAGATTTGTTCTAATTGATCCTAAGGTGCAGAACAAGGACCAATGGGGTAGAAATCATAGGGAGGCCAAATCTAGTTCAAGGTAAGGAGAAACTTCCTAACAATTACAGCTACCTCAAAACAGGATAGTATGTCTTAGAAAGTTATATGCTGTCACTGGTGTTCGTGAAGCAGAAGATGCATAACCACTTGTCAGGGATGATGTAGAAGATTTATGCTTCAGGTGGGAAATGGACTAGATAACTTCCAGCATCAAGATCCTACCACACTTAATCATTTTGTCTCCATCTTTTCTAATAAAGAAAATGATTTTCAGATTGGAAAAGGTAGATAAATACAAATAAGGACTCGAAGTCAAAAGATAGCTGAGGCAACAGAAAACAACTAGCAACTCTGAAAAATCCGAATCTCCCACCAAAGTGGGAAATAATTTACCCACAGATTCGATTACTGGGCCACTGTTGTAATCTTTAAGTAATCTTGAAGAAGAAGAATGATGATATAAGACTGGAGATAGATAAATGTCTTAAACATTGGTGAGCTTGGTGTTGATAATAGCAAAATTTTAGATTGTATTATTTATCCTTCAAATTCTTGGCCTTTTGATAGAATGTATTATTAAATGAA